GGGCGGAGGCACCGAAGCACCGCCCCGGGGGCAGGCGGAGGGTGAGCTCCCTCCGCTGCCCAGCGCTCTGAGCCAACGCTGTAAGAAACAAGCCCCGCGGGGCCGTGCGACCGAGCCCCACTGCTGTGCCCGATGAACGCCGAGTCCGGGGCGCTGTCCCCACTCCGGAGGCATCGGGACCCGGGGGCGTGGCCTTGGCGATGCCCCGCCCTGCAGCACCGCCTGCTCCTGGTCACGTGAGCGCGCTCGGCACGTGCCGGGATTCCCCACCCGCCCTGCGGCACGTGACCAGCCCTGAGGTGCCGCCATCACGGGAAGGGCTCCGCCATCTTGAGAAGGTCGGCGGCAGAAACCCTCCTCGTGAGACCCCATCCTGAACCCCCATCTCGAGACCCCATCGTGAGATCCTATCCTGAACCCCATCGTGAGACCCCATTGTGAAACCTCATCATAAGACCCCATCCTGAACTCCATCATGAGACCTCATGCTGAGACCCCCATCGTGAAACCACTAGCCCCCGTGTACCCGAGGGAAGCTGACGAGATGTGGCTCCACCTAGCAACTGTGGGCTCTGGCACTGCTGATGAATCTCTCCCAGGAAAGCAAACTGATGGGGAATGCAATTGTCAATGAATGTAATATCCCTGTCCGGCCTGCAATTGAATTTTAATTAGGTTTTGAGCTGCACTTAATAGTTCCATGATGTCAGTTTTCATCCACATTACAAGCTGCTTCTATGGTCAGCAGGATGCTGGGAAAGGGGCCTGAAAGGGAGAGATGGGAATGATGCTGGTTGAGGCTGGGAAACTGTTTTGGGAATTTGAGGCTAAGAATGGTTTCAGGTCACAGAGATATTCCAAAGACTGGAGCCCCTCTGCTCTGGAGCCAGACTGTTAGAGCTAGGGGGGGGTGTTCACCTGGAGAAGGCTCCATGGAGACTTTAGAGCCCATTCCAGGGCTTAAAGGGGCTCCAGGAGAGCTGGGGAGGAACTGTGAACAAGGGCCTGGAGGAGGAGGACGAGGGGCCCACTGCCAGAGGGCAGGGTTAGATGGGATACTGGGAAGAATTTCTTGGCTATGAGAGTGGAGAGGCCCTGGCACAGGTTGCCTAGAGGAGCTGTGGCTGCCCTTGGATCCCTGGCAGTGTCCAAGGCCAGGCTGGATGGGGCTTGGAGCAACCTGGGATAGTGGAAGGTATCCCTGCCCATGGCAGGGGGTGGAACTGGATGAGCTGTAAGGTTTTCCTCATTAAATTATGGACATCTGGGACACCCACCACTGTATTGCTGGGAATTATTTTTATCTTCATACAGGTGGAGACGAAGAGACTCCAAAATTAGAAATTGAGAAGATTAATCCTAAAAACAGCTCTCAGTCCTGCTCAGTTCTGCCCAATTTTTGAACTAAAACCACTACACCTGCTTATCTGTGAAGAAAGGACCCATCTAAGCTGCTAAATCAAATTTGGATGTCAGAAGGCACGTATGGCACCCAAAATGCCTGTGGTCAAAATAGGTCTCTTCTCCAGGAACACATAAGCTAACAGGGCTGTGACAGTAACATTAGCTGGCAGTGGAAGAGATGCTGAGGTAAAGACAAATACTGACTGCACAGATAGGAACATCCACCAATAATTTCCTGCTTCAGGCCACCCAGAGCAGTGACAGAGCTCCACCTGAGAACCCTGCCCAGCCACACAGATCTAAGGCTTCTTCAGGCTGCCAGTCCCAAGCCTGGATCAGAGCGCTGAGATCTCCTGTCTGCACTGCTGGGAGAACTGAACAGCCTGTGTCAAGCGATAGGAATCTCCTCGTTGAGGCTGCAGGTATGTCGTCCAGCCCAGCTTATGGCATGTACTGCTAAATCTTACTACTTTGGATGTTCTCCTTCTATTTCTCAGCATTAAATGAACCCTGTCTTGCATTGCCAATACTACACACTCCTCTAATAATAGTTATATATTCTTTCTCCCCACTGCCCCAGAAATAGGTGGAGGGAATCACAGGCTGTAGTTTTGCTTGCATTTTCCTTAGCAAATGTGGATTTTTTTTCCTTCAGGATGAGTTATTTTTAACCTGGCTCAATTCCCAAATTAGATACACTGCCTGGCAGCAAGAGCAATTGTACCTGCGCACTAGGGAGGAGCTTGGGAGCCCATGGAGCAGCTACAGGAGCAGGGCTGGGGCCAGAACTACTGCTGCATGAGGGGCTGTTGAAATACAGCCTTGTCTTCTGATTTTCACAAGCACTCACAAAGATGTGTAAGAAATTGTTACAAGGCACACATGGAGGCTGCTTAGAAAAACTGCCAGTCTTGGGAATATACACAATTTCCCAAGGTTTGTCCTCAGCCTACCTCATGCAGACAGCCATTAGGAAAGGGTGGCTGAATTCACTCTCTGCCACTTAAGTCACCTTTTTCTTCTCTGCCAAAGGCAGAAAGCACAGGTGTAACAGCACAGACAGGGCAGTGCAAAGTGCCAGAAAAGGCTCCAGAACACACAGTCCCTGGTATCCCGTTGGTGAATCCTGAAGAGAAAGACCTGATCCTGTGGTGAGGGCAGCTTGTCCCTCAGCAAAAAGAAAATGGCAAAGGCAAGCCACCAGTTCCCCAGGAGCTGTCCTGCTCAGCTTGTTCTCTCTTGGGTCAGAGAGAGCTGTCAGGTACCTTGTGGGTACAGTGTGGGCCCCTAAATAAAGCCTTGGCCCCTAAACACTGTAAGATCAGGGCATGATTTTTGCCTGTGTGCTTTTGTGCTGTGACACAAGAACCAGCTTGGCTGAAAACCACTGATAGGAGTTGCAAAGCTGTGGCTGTCAGGAGCTCACTGAAGTGTGTCTTGCAGAAAAAATAACAGCATTTATTAGCTTTAAACAGGAACAAAAATGGAGAAGCATTTTGGGACACAATCCTTTGACCCTGAAACAGAAAATTCCCACTCCAAGGCAAGTGGCATTGCAAAGACTTGCTCTGGGTTCAATTTAATCATGACAAGAGAAAAAGATGGTTAATAGCTGTAAAACTATGGCTAGAGGTTGCAAGTCCTGTGCATCAGAGGCAAGTAACTCTCACCTGAGCAGTCATGGTTTGGACAGTACAGTGGGCTGGAAACAGCGGAATACCCTACAATCAGCATCCCTGTGGTCAGCCAGGAAACAAGGTTTACTGAGACCTGTAGTTGTTAGTTCTGCTGTTACTCTATAATTCGAAATAGCAACTTGGTTTCTGGGATCAGTTTGTCATAACAAGATTCGTATTTCCCCAAAGTTTATTTACTTTTCCAGGTTCCTATGCTTTTCTCTAAGCCAAATCTCCCCAGGAAAGCCAATCTCTGAGCAATCACAGATAAAATCCTGATACTTAAAAATGCTTCTCCAACAGAGTGAAACAAAAATTTGCAGCCTTTGGAAAAAAAACCCAAACAACAGTGTGAAAGGGTTAACAAAGAACAAGGTCAGCAGGCTCCGTGGAGGCATTGTCTGTGCTGGCAGCTCTGGCAGTGGGTCTTGAACCTCCCCAAGTCTGCACTGACTGCAGATGGCCCTGTCCCTGCGCTGCTGCAGAGCCCTGCTCCTCTCCTCTCCGCAAGGCTGACTCACTGCAGCTCTCCCAGCCACGCACGGAGCACCAAAGCACCATGGCTGTGCCGGCATTGCCACCCCCTTCCCCTCTTCTAAATCGACTACTGAGTCAGTCCTTGCCAGATGAGACTGCCCTCTGAGCTACCATGCTCCTGGCAGTAAAGGAATTTCAAAAACCCCAAAGGTCTCTCATATTCTTAATGCCCCAAATCACTTGAGAAATGTGCTGATGCAATAGTACCAGTGAAGGACTTGAAATGTGGGTTTTCAGCCAGGAGTCATCACAGAGGATTCAGAGCATCACTGTCATGGCTGAGACAACATGTGCAGACTGTTAATTTGACTCTGGGTTAATTTGTATGTCCTTGGCACAAAGTGATCTTCCCCCAGTCCATGCTCACCCCAGCTCTGCTCTTCTTGCATGAGTTTATATACTAATGACAAAGGCTTCATGTTCTGAGTCATGAAGCAAAATGCTATTGAAGGGATTTTCCCTGCATTGGTTCTACAAGTACCTAGTAACTGTCTCTGCACAATGTCACCAACCTACAAGGGACCTTAGGGGTGATTAGAACAGGGGGCCTTTCAATCAGTTGGAGGTGCTGTTCTCTTTAATGTCATTTCGCTCACGTTCTTGTCAGCTAGCATGAAGACTGGCAGTGGTGTCTCCTTACAGAAGGTAAAAGCAGATGTTAAGCATATTTGCAGCCTCAGCTAGGACCTTCTCCTCTCCTCCCACACAATTTGACTTGCCAGATTAAATCCTCTCACCAGAATGACAAGCTGGATGCAGCATCCTCTCCAGAGCCTGGGTTTGGGATTCATCTCCCAGCTGCACCAGGAAGGCTCCCTCTGCAGCCAGTGTGAGACACAATTAACCTACAGATTCCATAAACCTTTATGACCACCCTGGGGAAGCCTAATTCAGAGGTTTAGTCTACTACTTTTGCTGATGAAAAGAATGACCAAAATAATTCAGATCAGGAATTATTCCTTCCCCTGGCCACTGCTTCAGCAGGCATATAGGATTTTCCTTTAGTCACCTTATGCCTCTGTACACTCCCACCACCACCTCTGCTCACACTGCCATAAGGCAAAGCCCTTCCCAAACAAAACCAGCCCAGCCCAGTCCACTGAGAGGAACTGCAGAGAGATCAGTGTTTTATCAAACAGCAAAAAAATAAACCCATTCCTTTGGTATTAATTGTTGATGACCCAGACAGAATGATTGGCTCATAGCTAGAGTCTCCTGAATGCTTAGGTGGACATGGTGGCACCAGGCCTGGGGAACACCCTTGCCAGGTTAGAAGCTCCAAACAGCTTCAATGAATTCCTTATGTTCTGGCCACATCTCTCCATGGTACCTGCACCATTCACTGGACAGGTACCTTGGTGAAACACACACATTTTCATTCCCAACTAGGTGACACATCCCTCCACATGCATCAGCTTGGTTTGATGCCAAAGGCTAGCACCAGGTGTGAGTAGTAACAATCTGGCTTGAACATTTGGCTCTGCTCTCTAAGCTGCAGACTTGCCAGTGCTAACTGGGACCAAGCTTTACCACTGAAAGGGTCCAACACGTATTTCCCATATAAGCTTGGCAGTACTCAAATCCTCAGGCCAGAGAAGGCTGCTCCCACACTCAGCGGCTGCAGCAGCAGTATCTCCCAGCTCAAATGGTCCCATGATTTAAAAGATAAAAATACAAGTTCTTGACTGAAGCCATTTTGTTGATGAGACTATTGTTGAGGTACTTCAGAAGCAATTACTGTTCACAGTACAGCTTCCAAGCAGCTCAGCTTCTGCAGGGCCAGCACAAGGACAGGCTGCTTCTTTCCTGACAATGGTGCTCCTCTCCTGGTCACAGGCTGCAGCCTGTACCCTTTCTCCCTGACCCCTGCTTACAGAGCACCACACTGAGCCAGATGTGGTCAGTGTGAGCACAGCCCTGCATCCCTGCTCACCACAAACATGGCTCATGGCAGCAGCTGGGAACCACACTGCCACAGCCCAGGAGAAAGGGAAAGTTGTGGCAGAGCTGGCAGCATCACACTGGCATGCTGACCAGTCACTTCAGGAACCTCCTCCCTTGAGGGACCTCACCCTCTTCCCAAAGGAGGGGCAACAGCTGGAAATCAGAGCCAGGGAGTCATTACAGCAATGTAGTGAGGAAGTTTTATTTGGAAACATGGTAGAAGTTTGTAACCCAACACTGGGTGCACAACTGATGCCGGAGCATACGCAGTTACTATTGAAACACAGGAGTGTTTCGGACAATTGCTGTAATAAAACACAAAATTCTCATACTCCAATACCAGGACACTACAGCAATCTTGAGAATCAAAATTACATCCAAGGAATTCTCTGCACTTACAATTGACCCCACAGTGTAATCTACCTATATATAAGATTAATATATATAGCATGGGAAATTGAAAATCCTTGCTCCATAGATGTATGAATGTCAAGTCTTTTATAAATAAACATCCAGTGAAGAGAAAAAATTACATTTCTAGTTCATATTTATACATAAAATACTAACAGCAATGGGTGGAAAATTGCACACAGGCCACTCCAAGCCATGCAGCAGGCTTGGAGCAGCCCATCCAAGTTAATATTGAAGTACACACAGGACAGACGAGTCACTAACAGATATTGCGCATTTACAAGAGATCAACTACCAAATCGGGACAACTGTACACATTGGAGAAACCATTTTCATTCTGGAGCTTTTTTTTTTTGTTAAACGTAGATTTGTTACATCTCTTTACATCATACTGCAACATTTACTTCGTGGAGAGGATAAGGGCAACAATGAGGCCGTAGAGACCCAAGACTTCAGCGAAGATCAAAATGAGGATCATCCCCACAAATAACCTGGGCTGCTGTGCTGTACCCCGGACACCTGCATCGCCCACAATGCCGATGGCAAAGCCAGCAGCCAGACCGCTGAGACCCACGCTCAAGCCAGCACCCAGCTGAAGGAAGCTCCTGTGGAACAGAGACGCAAGAGTTTCAGTGGCAAAGAACAGGACACCCAGCCTTTAAGCCCCTAACTCTTTCAACAAGCCCAATATGTCTCACTCCCGACTCTAATACTTAAAGAAACAGGCAGCAGTGAATGATTTTCACCTCATGTTCATGTGTTTGGCTCATACATCAAAGTGAGTTACTGGGCTCATCTGGCCACCAGCAGGCTCAGCATGGTGTCAGAGCAGCACTTACTAGCACTTGCAGCAATGCCTGCCCCATGGTGCTGTGCAGCCTGTTAGCAGCTGCTCATCTCCAACCTTTAGCAACCTTATACAGCCACAGCACATCCAGGTGTCTTGCACAGCAGGAACTGGGCAGGAATGGTCTGGTTTTCCAAGGAGAGCAGTCCCTATTAGTGTCTGCCCACCTGGTAATTGCAAAGGACCATTTGTATCTGCTGTTTTAGACCATGTCATGTTATGCCAAGCACACTGCTCATAGGTACAGTCTGTACAGCAACACAGATACTTGTCACACTCTAGCAGCACTGTTTAATTCCAAGAGGGCTCAATCACACCAGTTCCAGCTGTTCTGAGAAGCCAAAAGGAGATTAAGTTTCAGACTGTAGCTGCTATAGAGGCCTGATGTATAGCTCAAGGATTGATTTACCAGCACATAAAGCAATATTAATTATTCACTTACATCTCCCAGGCAACAGCAGAACTATTTAGACAGTATTGCAAACACCTGTGCATCCAGGCCTAGAGTCTGGCATCATGACCAAAGCTTTGCCTCCTATTCCAGTGCTGCCTGCACACAGCTTCTTTTAAGCCACAGCCCCCCTACATGAGCAGTGGGATGCCCGATTGATCTGTGACAGCCAGTACAACCAACTGAGCAGGTGGCTCCACTGGGGCTGAGGCATCCAGCAGGACAGCTGGAATCTAGCCTGTGCTCCTAAGCCTAGCCCAGCAGCATTTAGCACTGCCAGCCTTTCCAGGGGCCTTGAGCCAAAACCACCCCCACACAAAGCATCAAACAGTGACAGGACAGTCTGAAACAGACCCACCGGATGCACCAACTTACTTGAATAGTGTGATGTCAGGTGAGAGGGCATTGGCAATGAGCACTGCCACTACGAGGCCATAGATTGCTATAATACCAGCCATGACCACAGGGATGATGGACTTCATGATCAGCTCAGGCCTCATGACAGACATGGCTGCAATACCTGTGCCACTCTTTGCAGTTCCATATGCAGCTCCCAAGGCTGGAAGAGAAAAAAATGCATTAGACATCCCCAAATACCATTTCTTTCACTAGGCTGCAGTTAAAACAGCCAAGTCAGCACAAGGAAGGATTGTGCAAAATGAACATGGTCATGTGACAGCCAGGAATACTCCCCTAAGGGATGGGGAAGTGACCTACCCAGAGTCCTATTCCAAAGATGAGTAAGAAGTGATGTTCAAACACTACTGATAGCAGAATATCTTACCAGGCCAGCTTCACAGCAGGGCACACCCTAGCAGCCATCTATGCCCCTGCTTAGGGGCCAAAACCCAGTCTCAAGCTCAACTGGAGCTCCAGTGTTGTGACCTCCCAGAGTCCACAATGCAAGGCTCAACAAAGCACATCTGTCTACCCCAGCAGAACACAGCTGAGAGCTGGGCTACCTGAACCAAGTTCAAATGCACAGATCTTCATGGGGCCTGTTCTCCCACAAAACTCATTTGCCTATGCTTTGGCCCTGGAGTTAAACGTGCCACTGGCAGCTTCATCAGACACAGAAACAAACTCAAATACTACTGTTCCATGTCATTCCTTGGAGAAAGATTCTGGCACATGGAGAGGGTGACCTCACCTGTGACCTCACCTTGGGCCCAAACATTTGTCAATCCAATCACAAAGAATAGTTTGGCTTGTAGGTTAGAGAGGACCACAACCACCTTACACCTAAGGTTTACTCATCTCTGTCAACACAGAGACCTGCACAGGATGATGGGCTCTATCACCTGTACCTGAGACCAGCTGGAAGAGAACAAAGCACTACCCTGATGTCACCCTGAAAATTAAGCCTTTTGATCTTGTTTTCATAGTTTTAATTACTTTTCCAGGAAAGTAACTGTAAACATAAGTGTTTACACATTCCTTCTAAGAGACATCCTTTGATGGACATTTCACATGACCAGTGTGATTGGGAAGGTGGTAACTTAGTTATCTAATCCCTGGTCATTGTCATGAATCTATAAATACTGAAGTCAGAAAATAAAGTTACTTCTTTTCTGGTCATACCACTGAGACATTTGTGTGAATCGTTCCCTGTCCTTTAGTGACACCCCGAAGTAATTTCTGCCTTGAAAACTTTTTATTAGTTGCACAGAAGCTTCCTCAAATGCCTCATTCTTTGATTCTGCAGTACTTAAAAAGACACCTTTCCTTCCAGTCTTACTGGGGAATATTCTTGGAATTCCTTCCCAGCTTCCTACTTCATTCACCATCACCCAGAGATGACAGCATGTCAACTGCCAGCCAGGAATAAGTCCCTGAAACAGGAGAGATAGGCATATGGAAGGGCAGGCAGTCTCCTTTTCTGACACCATCAAGATTGTCTTCAGAGGTCAGCCCTATCTGGCAAGAAAATGTTCTTGCATCTGTTCTAAAAGACTGCTGGAGTGTATTTAAACCACAGACATTTAAAGTCTTTGTACTGTTCTGAGACTTAATAGTTGAGTTTGCTCCACCCACAGAAAACTAAGGTTTCTCCAAGGGAGACCTGATTGTTCCACAAAGATCTGTAACTGCCTTGCACTGGTATCCAAGTGTGAGATTGTGCACCTTGTCACAACAAGAGTTGCTGGAATGTATCTGGAGGAGTCTGGATATATACTTTCCTGCTTCTCACTTAGTACTCCCATAAAGCCCATCTTTGGAGCAGTCATCCTCCTGGCTTGGCACCAGACCATTCATACAAACAGCACCGCTACACTAACACAAGGTTCATTCTTAGAAGGAAGTTCAGTTTTATTTACAAAAACCTAAGGGGAAAGTCTCATTAACTACCAATTTGCTCTGTGCTAGCAAAGCTCTTGAACCTTGACTGGCACCAAGTGATGGGAAGGGCTATTTTGGACAATTCAGAACTAGAACCCAAGTTAAGAAGCTTGAGCAATGAGCATGTTCTATCTGCAAATATAAGATGAACCTGGAAATTAGCACATGGATTTAATCAGCCATTTCAGTGAAGGCTCTGTTTAGAGTCTAACCCTTACAAAGTCTAGAAAGAAACTACTGACTTGAACTAGGAACCATTTTTGTTGGATGAAGCATCTTCTAATGGCTGGACTAAGTCTGAATCCTGGTTCCACCATCTACGCTGGGTACAGAATTTAGCAGAAACCACTTCTGTCTGCAATATTTTACAAATCTCTGGAAAAATGCAGAGGCTCATGACGGAAGTTCACTATTTAAAGTTATACCAGTTGTCACCTCCTCCAAGCATTAAGCTACTCAGGGGTGTTGCAATTAATGCAGCTAAGTATTAGAGAAGGTGATTTCGTAACCCCACTTACAGAAAGTCAGCTTGCTCAAGCTTCTGTGGAAGGGCAGTGCAGCACAAGTTTGTCAGCTTCATGTCAAAAGCCCAGAAGAGGCCAGATCTTATGCCTTGAACTTGTTTTAGACACAGTTTGAAAGAACTGTTTACCAGTCTTCACATGGTAGCCTTAGATGCCACTGAACCTCTACTGAACTCCCACTGGTGGCCACACAGAGCTTCAGAGCTGGGACATCTGCTCCCAAGGAAGCCTTTACCCACACCCCAACCAAGAGACATCTCCAGCACCTTATAAGGCAACTTTACAGCATTTCACTAGCCTAGCAAGTTGGGTCATTGACATTATCCCAGTATTACAAGCAAGGTGTCAAAGCTTCCCACCATGACCCAGCCTCTAGTGGTACAGCCACTCAGTTTTGGGCCATGGACACCCTTGACAATGTTCTTGCACACCTTCACCTCTACCTTGCAGCAGCTCTGAAAAACTGAAGCACATGTATTTCATATGCTACATTTAAATATTCCTGATTGATTGGAAGGACATGTTTTCCAAAATCTCAGTGAACAGGATTTGAGGAGGTCTGTGACACACACTGGAAATGGGGCAAGAGCTGTACCTCTACTACTCACCAAGACTCTTTTTTTGTGTCAGTTCATCCAGATCCCTCACCTCTAACGTACAGACCAAGCAAGCTCCAAACACTACTTTTAAAGAGGCAGACCTGTCAAATATACCTGGCAGGTGGAGATGTACTCCACCTATCGAGTTCACCAGGAAAGGAATCCATCCTGGTCTCTAACCAGGAATTATGCTATTTGGAAGTTCAATGGTGTCACAATACAGAGAAGTTGCAATGCACATCATTCAAGACCACCTACTCCCAGTAAGCCTGTTTCAAAGGTCAACTCCCTTGTGAAATACTTGATTTACTCCTTCAACTCATCACTGGTTACCATCACAGCAAGTATGAAAGACCATTAGGTACAAGCACTTACATCTGGAGCCTTTTAAAACTAATCATTATCAAATGGGCTGCCCTCTGCAGTATGCAGGCTTCCCTGCCAATTCACCAACATCTATTCATCCCTGAGCAGGTTATTCTTAAAAGGCTGGAAAAATGTT